TCTATTTCTTTTTGACATTTCTCACCTATGTACTTTACCAGTTAGCTCTAGAAAGGAATAACAAAAAAGTGATGAAAAAGGACAACATGTGAGTTAGCATCCTGTGTATTCAAGCTCCCCCAACAACATTATTTTCTGAGCGTTGTGCTTCTGTTGAGACTGAAAATGGTATTTTGAAGATGTATTTTTATTTCCTGTTCTTTTAAATATATATTTGGATTGGGGCAAATATAAAATCAGGGGTGCCCCTGGGTGCTCCTGGGTGCTCCGACCACAGGCGTGCGCTTCCAGTTCTCTGTACAACGCCCCTGCCGCCTGCGAGCAACTCTTTGTGCGACCCTTGGAAGGAACTGCCTGTCGCCTATGCCATCAGCGTGCCGGGCCAGCAAGAGAAGGTCGGCGACGCAGTCACAGGATCCTTGGGAATTAGGCAGCATAGAAACAGCGAAGTGAAGACACCAAATTCCAAAGAGATGGTTTGAGGCTAATCTTTCTCTGATTTTTTTTTCCTCCAGATTTGGAGGTTGACTCACCTGTTTATATGCTAAAAAGAACCCCCTTATTTTGATTTCTGAATACTTTTTTCTCCTAGTAGTCAAACTTATTATGGAATAAAACATTTTGATAATTGCTTTTTAATATGATGAAAGGTTGGAACCTTTTCCAGTGACAAGGAAATGAGAGAATATAATGGAATGATGTCTTGTAATTTTTATAACTTCCAAATAGCAAATGAGAGAATCGTTCATTTATTCACTGAAGTTTCCTCCCAGAATCACAGAATTACTCCTACACAGCAATTAGAAGGGGAGATGAATGTTTAAGCATTAGCTGTAACTTGTCTTTCTGGGGAGGAGGGGACTGAGTTTAAGCTGTTGGCAATGGGAAAGTTAATTAACAAATAGAAAATTTTAGCTATTACTTCCTTGGATTCTGAACAGGTTTTCTAAGTTGTGAAGTTAAATAAACTGTCACTGTAATTTTCAAGGCTTTTCTTTAGAGAAGGAAGCAAGGGTAAATAATCAAAATGTTTGTATTGTGCTAGTCTTGGCTATAAAAATATGGTTTTTTGGGGGGAAGACTCGCTCTTTTTTTGAAGTAGCACTGCATTATAACACCATATAAGTTTGAGATGTGTGTCTTTCAAAATCAACATTCGGTCCACCACTAAGAGCCCAGAGCCATCCTTCACCTTCCGCTGTCTGGGGGATTTCTTATCTGTCACTTGCCAAAGTGCATGCATGAGTAGTCCCGTGCGGAGCAGCAGACAGCCCCTGTGGTTGGTCCTTTGCAGGCCTCTCAGCGTGCCTCCATCCCAAGGTCACAGCCAACGCGGCAGTGTGTGTCATGGCTCACAAAGGGCATTGGCCAAGAAAGTTTGGAGGGCTTCAGAGCTGTCATCAGTCCTGGAGAAAGAGCCCCCAGTGGATGATTTATTCTCAGCACCATCTTTTCTTTAGACAAGAAGAGATTTGGAGTCCATCATGAAGTATTTGCTTGATTGCCAGAAGGCCAGAATAACTTGGGCACTCAATTGCAATGACTTCTCAACCTTCGGTTCCTATTCCATTCATGATTCATGATCATCCTTTCCAGATGGAGTTGCTGATTTGTCCTTCTTATCTTTCCTTTAACTGAGCTGGGTATGTGCCCTCTCTTTCTCTTTCTATTTCTCTTTCTTGTTCTCTTTTTCTGTCTCTGTCTCTGTCTGTCTCTGTCTGTCTGTCTCTCCTAGAGTAAGCCCCTTCAAATCTTTAGAATTCGATGACTGTTAGATTTAAGGACAGCTGACTCACTTAACAGCATGGCCCAGTGGGCAAAGGTTACTTCATCTTTTGCCTTGAATCTCTATTTCTTTTTGACATTTCTCTTCTTCATCTCTACTTGACATTTCTTTTCTCACCTATGTACTTTACCAGTTAGCTCTAAAAAGGAATAACAAAAAAGTAATGAAAAAGGACAACATGTGAGTTAGTATCCTGTGTATTCAAGCTCCTCCAACAACATAATTTTCTGAGAGTTGTGCTTCTGTTGAAACTGAAAAAGCAGAAAATGGTATTTTGAAGATGTATTTTTATGTCTTGTTCTTTTAAACCAAGAGATTAGTTGTTATAACAAAATCACTCATTTGCTGCCTTTTCTTGCAATGTCCTGATTTTATATTTGCCCCAATCCAAATATGTGTAATTTTCTTTTTAAAAAAATTATTTATTTTCTGACATCATTCTTCATTTTTGTACAGTAATTTGTTTTCCTCTCAGGTGTTGTCCCCATTATTGTCCCACCACTATAGCACCCGTGAACCATCACCACTGTCCCTTGTGCTCTTCCCTGCTGTTCTGACCCCTCACTCTCCCTCTCCCGTGCTGTGGGCCTCAGATCCATGGTCAGCTTGCAAGTTAAATATATGTGATTTTCAAGTCACATCAAATCCATTTTGGAAAAAGATGGTGTGTAAATAAGATTTTTTTTTTTACTTTGTCTTTTTTCTTTAGTGTTTTAAATGGTTTGTCTTCATTCATTAATGGACTCACTATTCAATAGTCATTCATTCATTAAACATTTAGCAAGAATCTCATTTTGTGCCAGGTCTTTTGCCAGACGCTGGGACCCAAAAATAAATATGACAAAGATTTGAAAACTCTCTTTCCTCAAGAACTGGGTGTAAGGGCCAAACTTCCCCCATACAGCATTCTATATATATATAAGGGACAAGCCACACAGTCAGGTTCACAAATAGCTGCAATGTAACACTTCATTTACATGCTATAGTGCTTGGGGACCATGAGGGTAGAGAGCTGCTCCCTGAATACCTAAAAATCTCAGGAAAAATATATGTGCAACTTAAACATGAAGCACCTGTTTCATTGGTCAATTATTTAAATAACCTTTTAAGGCCCTATAATTTCAAGGGCACCCTCACTGTACCCTTGGATTTTGGCACAAAGGGTTAGTGCCAAACTATTATACTGTCATCTAAGAGCCCTGGAACTGACTTGGGTCAGATGTGATTTCTCCTCTGTGCCAGGGAAGACAATTTGTCTAGCCCAGGCAGTTGGTCCTTTGATAAAATTATAGAACCCTCCCATACTTGAAAATACCCATCTCTTAAATTCCAAACCACTGATAATGGAGCAAAGTAGAGGGTCACTTATTTAGCATGGTTACTTAGTCATATCTGGGTTATTTAGAAAGCCTTTCAAACTGAGGGACTAACTATACTATACTGTATTTTTTTTTTTTTTTTTTGCCAGCCGACCATCCCCCTTTAGCTTTTCCCAAGTAAATAAATACTGTAAAGCAATTGGCATTCTCTTCTATTTATTAGTAGTGTGGGCAAATAATGAGAGGTGCTTTTGCAAGATAGTCAGACACAGATTTCCCTACCATTCATGTCAATATCCTGAAAAGCACCAGATAAGAAATATGTTGACTTGTGCCATATTGGGTACTTCTCTAACCTTAGTATCATGAGTGCACTCACATTGCCAAGAATAAACTAAATTTACTTTTTAAAATGATCACTCTGGGGGCCTCCCTGGTGGCACAAGGGGTTGAGCACCGCACCGTGAGGCAGTCCGCAGCCTCTGCAGCATGAGTTCGATCCCCAGCCGGCCAGAGAGAAACCCACATGGCGCAGCAGACCTCTCCTGACTCTCCCACTGCTCCCCTCAGCAGTGTATTTCAGTCAGTCTGCCTGTTCTGTTCCCCACTCTTTCTCTGGTGAGTCCTCTCACCCCCCCACATCTCTGGCCTGTACCCCAGCTCTTGTATGCATAAATAAGTAAATCTTAAAAAAATGATCACTTTTACTACTCCTTAGGGAGTGGCTTGTAAAAGAATAAGAAGAGGAAGGAGACTTATGTGTTGGATCTGTGTTCTCCAGTCATATGAGGGAATCCAGTGGACAGGTGGAGGGTTTGGCCTCCAGTTTGTGGCAACTAAATTATATGGCAGAGATGCAGGTGCATTGGTGGATTTGGTGGCAGAAGCATACATAATTTTCTTCTGATTGTATCTATTGTTTCCATAAAATAAATAAAGTCATCTTTTGAGAGAGAGGAGAGTTTAGGGTTTGAGATCATGAACTTAAAGTGAAGGCAGGTGTGAAATGACCATCTGAAAGAGTAGGAGAGTGTATACAGTAGGCTCGTGAGCCATGCTGAGTGTGCACTTGAGGTACTGGCATAAAGGTTAAGCGAGACCAGTCAGCATGTTTGTGTGCTTTGCTGCAGACAGGTTTAGATACCCAGGAGCTGCCATAGGGTTGGTGGAGAGTTGAGATTTTGCCTGGCAAGTGTGTTAGAGGGAGAGAGAGGTCAGTCATTCAAGGGTACGAACCAGAGAATGGTCATAGTATTAGGTCATTGAGTCAGAGCTGGGCAAGGCAGGAAACAAAGACATGAGGGTTTCACTGGGTCAGTGAGAAAGTGGTAGGATTCACAGCTTGGAGGTCCAGATGAGAGTGAAAGAATGGTTACTGTAGGGGAGCCAGAAGTGATGTGGAAGGTTGGAGATGGTAGTCAGAGAAAGAGTAAGAGACTTGAAGTCAAAACTTTTCAGGTGGTTTTATTTTTCAAGGTGTTAACATATGACTATGGAGGTAACTGAACTGGGATGGAGGAAAAGATCACCAAAAGAGAGAAAGTCATGGATCTGACAGCCAGAGGAATGGAAGAATTCTACACTTAGGATTAAAGTTACCAAACATGTGAGTTTGGAAATAGAATATGGTAATTCAGGTATTGAAATCTTCAGTGACTGGAGAGATGATAGTTAACTGCAAAAAGGGGGGGATTCCAGCTTGATAGATTCTAATATCTCAAAGAAATAAAGTGAGGTCATTAGCTGGAAATGAGGAGCGTGGGAAGGAAGTTTCAGGAGAGACAGAAGATGTGAATTATTTTGGAGGGTGAGAAAATGTATTTATCAGGGAAATATACCAGGATTGCCTGACTATATTAAGTGTCGTGTGATATTTGTGATCATGAATTTATTTTTTTTAATATGAAAGCTTCATAAATTTGTTTATCATCCTCGCTCAGGGGCCATGCTAGTCTTGTCTATACTGTTCCAATTTTAGTATATGTGCTGCCAATGTGAGCACTGTGATGATGAATTTAAAGTGAAAGCAGACATGCCAGCTCCGACGGTGGAATCTTACTGGAACGTGCAGACCATGTAGTGGAGGTCAATGAAGGGGTCATTGATGGTAACAACATCTACTTTGCCAGAGTTAAAAGCAGCCCCGGGGACCAGGTGTCCGATTTGACCAAATCCATTCACTGCGACCTTCACCCATGGTGCCTGAGGGATGTGCTGGCCCTGCGCAAGGAGAGGCCGCTGTTTGTAGAACTGGGAGGAGCAGAGCCGATCCTGAGTCATTTGATCCTGAGTCATTTGATCTGGTCCTTTCGGTAAAGGACCAGACCCACTGTGTGGGTCAATCTCTGTACAGAGACTCAGCTCCACTGTAAAAGCAGTCACAGACCATACACAGACAAATGGGTGTTTCCGCTCAAACTTTCTCTGCACTACCAGGGGACTGGTCCACACCTCAGTCACAGCTTGCCAACTCCTGGTTTATAGAGTGGCAAGAGGTTTTGAAACAAAAATGAATAAAAGCAGTAAATCTAGTTAGGAATATATATGCAAATGAATTTTAAGCTTTTAATTTCCATTAAACTAATAAGCAGAGGTCATTAATGGTTTTAAAAAACCTTGCTTTTAATGAGCAGAGGTTTAAGTCTAACCTTTTCCATTAGATGTCGTCTGGATCTGTTTTACCCATATTGGTAAATGAATCAAGCAGCACAGACCCAAACAAAATTAATAAGGCACAAAATAGCGTGAGGGCGAAGAGGGCAGTGGTTCAACCTTAGTGCTTATTCTTTTTTAAAAAAAAAAAATTTCAATTTAATTTTTTATTGGTTTAGACAACAAATTAAGACAAGCAAAAGAAAACAGCAAAAACAATTTCGAGGATTGTCTTTACAATATGACTACATACAAGGAAAAAGAATTTTAATCTTATGGGAATATTATGATAATCACTGAGAGCTTTTAGCAGATTTGCTATGGATATAATAAATATAAAAATCCTTTTGTGTTTCTGTACATCACTACAACTTGTTTTTAAAATCACCATTTGTAATCACACACAGAGTACATGTAATCCTATACATATTACCCATATGTACACATATGTAGTATAGATAACAGATATTCATAGATATATAGATACATATGGATTACACAAATATAATCACATGTATGGCTATAATAACAAAGTTGCTTATTGCAGTATTTATTTTGTTTTATTTTTAAAAAGATTTTATTTATTTTTGTGTAGAAGAACTAGGGTGTAAGCCAGAGCCACAGGGAGTGAGAGGATTCACCAGGGACAGAGTGGGGAGCAGAACAGGCAGATCCACTGAATGAAATACACTGATGAGGAGAGCAGCAGGAGAGACAAGAAAGGTCTGCTGTGCCATGTGGGTCAGCTCCCTGATGGGGGGTTGAACTCCTGCTGCTGATAGCTTCATAGTGCTGAGACTTAACCCCTTGCGCCACCCGGGAGGCCCACTTGATTCATTTTGTGCACAGGTAGCTGCTGACCATATAACTTAAGGTCTAGTTGGTCAGTGGCTGGTCCTCTGCCTATTACTTCTCCCCCAAAGCCTATACAACTGTCTCTCAATATGCTTGCTTTTTAAAATGTGGCAGAAAACAGGGAGGGGGTGTTTATTCATTTAGCATCCAGCTAAACATCTTTTCTGACAATGTTTATGGAAACCTACAGGAAGACGTGGGAAGGATGAAAAACTGCACTTCTTTGGATTTTAAAATCACATGGTATATTACTTGGATACTGGAGACTTACATTGGATTTTGGGCAAGTTCAGACCTGGTAGCTAGGATAATAAAAGTTACTATGACTATAACCATTGTGGTGTGGTGATGGTGCACGGGTGAATTGGTGAAGGAAATTCTATGGGGACTGCATCTGAGGGGGGGCGGGAAGCAATCATTATTTAAAAATGAACAATGATGTGAAATATATATAAATAAAAAATTTTTTAAACCATTGGTTTTATATGCCTATGGATGTGCTTTTAACTAAATTTCAAGACCCAATACACTCAGAATAAATATTTTTTTTCCTCATTTGGTTGGCTTATGAATAGCCATTAACGAATCCAATTTGTCTGACATTTGTCTGGAAGGATAACAAAACAAAACTGACCCGGAGAACGGCAGAGCCCTTCATCTCTCAAGATCAATACTGGCCACACAGAACACACTGTAGAAAATCAGGCAGGAATATCACTTGTTATAAATATGTGTTGCCATTAACCCTTATCTGATAGATTTGGCGTAGGGAAATAATTGGAAGTTCTATTTATGGTCCTATTTACACTTCTACCACCAAAATTAATGATTCACTCTAAGTGAGAGTTTTGCCCATATTCATCACCCATCAGTGACTGTGACTAAATTAAAATGTGATTATATTTCCACAAACCTTGAATTTCATTGCAAAACCCAAGATTCAATTATTTTTGTGCTAACATTTATGGTCAATAGCCTACAGTCTTCCCTAAATTAGCAAATTCTTACCCTTCAAAATAGACATTTGTTTTTAAAAGGTGTTCTTTACCTACTGAATAGATATAAAAGAAATGCATGGGCCTCCCCTGGTGGCGCAGGCAGTTGAGCACAGCGCTGTGAAACTGTCCGCAGCCTCTGCAGTGCCGGTTAGATCCCCACTGGCCAGAGGTGAGAATCCCACATGGCGCAAAAGACCTCTCCTGTCTTGCCCGCTGCTCCCCTCAGCAGTGTATTTCAGTCAATCTGCCTGTTCTGTTCCTCGCTCTGTCTCTGATGAATCCTCTCGCCCTCCTGCGCATCTGGCCTGTACCCCGGTTCTTGTATGTATACATAAATAAATCTTTAAAAAAATTTTACAAAAGAATGTATTGAAAATTATACCATTTTTGCTCTCCCTAGTGGGTAAATTCCTCCCTAATCCTTTTTTATGCCTGCATAATATTCTATTATAGGGTTTAACATTATTTATTTGTGTTTTGGTTGTTTCTAATATTTTGCTTCTACAACGATTGCTGCAATGACTAATGTTGTATGTAAATCATTATATATATGTGTGAGTATATCAGTAGATATACTCATTTCTAGAAGTGGGTCTGGTCAAAAAGCATATACATTTTCATACAGAGAAAATATATGCTTCTACTAGCAATGCATCAGAGTGCTTCTTTTGCCATACTGTTGTCAGCGAAACATGTATTTAATCTTGTCAGTGTTATAGATGAAAAATGATATTATGGTGATGAATTAAATTTCATTTCAAAAATATTCCTGAAGCTAGACATCTTTTCAAATGCCAATAGTCAATGTCGTCGCTCTTCTGTGAACTGCTTGCTCACCTTTACCTATTTCTAAGGTAAAGGTTGGTCTTTTCCTATTGATTTGTAAAAGCTATTCATTTAAGGTTTTTCTTTACCTGGTATTAATCCTCCCCCCTTCAGCTGTCTTTTTACTTTGGTTAGGTGGTTTTTGGCATGCAGAAATTCATTACTGTGTAGTCAAACGTATCAATCTTTTCCTTTATAGCTTTTGTGTTTTCTGACATATTTGGCAATGTCTTCTTTACTCCCAGAATAAAAACAACAGACATTTAAACAGAATTGTGATTCATGAATCTTCAGGCTATAGAGTGTGAAGTCTGTTTTGCTGTAGCTTCTCTACATCTGACCTCCAGCATGAAGCATGGATTGGGCATGAAGAGTTCTGGGTGGTGACACCTCAGTCATGAAACCCAGTTGCTATGGAAATTTGATCCCATTCTACTGTTTACAAAACACTCATCGCTTGTCTATTATGAGTAAAACACTGTGCTAGGCACATTGTGGGATACAAAGAAGAAATAAAAAAATGGCTCCCTTTTCCCAAAGTGCCTACAACATAGTATGAGATAGGTATGTTCAAAATTGTGGGTCGGGGGAGTAAAGAGGAGACTGGTATGTAGGTGAGGGCTGAGGCTCTATGTAAGTTGAGTGTACACACAGTTGGCCTTTATCGGCCTCCATATTGGTTCACTGATGTTCTTATCATGCAGAACAGGGCTCAACAGGCATTATCTGTAAGGGACCAGATAGCAAATAGTTTCATCTTTCTAACTATTGTACTCAATTTTGCCTGAACAATGAGAGTGTCTGTGTTGCAATGAAATTTTATAGAAATGTGAATTTCATGTGCTGTGAAATATTATTTGTTTTTAACTTTTTTCAAACTAAAAATGGTAAGAAACGAAAACAAAAAACACTCCTGGCTTGAGGGCCATATAAAAACAGATAGCAGGTTAGATTTGGCCCACAGTCATAGTTTGCCAATCCATGATTATAGGGAACGACTGTGTAATTCTATCCCAGGAGCAAGGATGATTTTAGAAAAACTATCAATTGTCGAAAGCCTGAAAAATAACTTTAAAGTCATCACTTTAAGTTTTGCAAAAGGAATCTGGAAGCAATGAATGGGGAAGCAGTGAATATGTGACCTGCTGTTGCTCAGCTAAACACTGGAGAGGATGCAGTTCTTTGAATCAAATTCACCGATTCCTTCTGTTAAACTGCCTTTCACCTGATACTTCTGTCAGAGAATCTAGAAACTATGGTGATTGATGCCATAGAAACACACAGCGAGCGAGCAGGGTGATGAGCTTGTGGATTGTGGCATGGCTGAGAGGGAAAAAAAGCTTTTTAGCTGCCAATCTAGAGGTAAAGTAATGGAATAAAATGCAATGCAGCTAGCATGCAGGGAGCTTTATTATTTACAGAACACTTTTCACATATATTATAACCTTTAATTTTATTCAAACGCCACAATAGCCCTATGTGGTAAGTGTTTTTATAATTTTACAGATCTGGTTGCTTTCTGCCAACAATTTTCACATTGCTACTCTAAGTGTAAGGACCAGAAGCCCCTCCATGCTAAGCTTCAAGCCATAATTAGTAAATAATAATGATGAGGATAATGATAGTAAAATTATTCTAGTCACTGGATGTTGGTTACAGCCCAGTGAGGCCA